CCCGCCACCTCCGGCTCTATTCGGTACCAGCTACTCTCCTCTGCCCACAACAGGCGCTGAATATGGATACAGACATTTTATGCTAAATATTTAGGTGACAATATATAAGGCTTAATACGCTCACTTACCAACTCATTAAATATAATTTGAATTTCTTATAGGCGTATTCATGTGTCCACAGCAACAAACAGAAGATGGATTTGAGCTCCAGTTTGGAACAAATCATCTCGGTCATTTTCTGCTGACCAACCTCTTACTAGACTTGATGAAGAAATCGGCTCCCAGCCGAATCGTGAATGTCTCATCATTTGCGCATAAGTCTGGAAAAATGCATTTTGATGATCTGCACTTGAGCGATTGTTACGGCCCATTCAAAGCTTATCGACAAAGCAAGTTGGCAAATATACTGTTCACAAATGAACTGGCAAGAAGGTTAGAAGGTAACAAAAACTATATTCTTGAACAATTTTAGTTTGCGATTTGAGAGTATGAGAATGCATAACTTACCCATGCACCCTTCTTAATACTTGTAGGCCTAGGTGCTTAATATAATGAAGTATTTATCTAAACGTATTTAGGCAGGATAACATATACAGACGAGATGATAACGATGTTTTACAATATGATTTATTATTCCTTAAAAAATAATGACAAATCAAATATTATAAAGAAATTTATTGTTTTACCCTGCAAACTTAGAAGTCTTCAAAAAACATGTTCATTTTTTTCATTAGGAACAAGTATAAATTGTTACTCACTTCATCCTGGTGTTGTAAGTACTAACATAGTTCACTACGTCACATCCTGGAAACGTGTGCTTCTAGAAATAGTGCGTCTATTGCTGGCAAATAATCCTGAGATGGGTGCACAAACTACAATATACTGTGCTGTTGAAAAGAGCCTGGCAAACGAATCGGGGTGTTTTTACAGGTAGGTAGGCTGAGGTACCGGTTCAATTGCCATCGCTGTTCTCCTTGATCTAAAATGCAAGTTACGATAGTGCACTGTCTTTCGGATGAGACTTGCCGTTGGTCCCGTGTGCATTATGGTCCATGTGCAAGTTGAAGAAAATACGGGAATGTCGGAAAAGAATCGGGGATTGCCACCCATTCTGGCCGATCACCACCAGAAGGACCCTAGTGAAAATAAGTGCTTAAGTTCGATTGCCTGAGGTTGGAGGCATTACTACTAGGCCTATGTATATATTTGCTAAGTTCTGGTATTGCTTCCTTTTTGATGTTATCATCAGAAAAATCAAACGCTTTCCAAAGTATTAACAAAACTATTACATGAGTATTATGAGTACACCCGTCGATCGTCTGAGGTGTCTTATAAATGTATATTATTTCTATCATCTTCATGATCATGGTCATTATTGTCTCTGCATCATCATCTGTTATATAACCGTTATCATCATTATCACCATTATTATAATTATATATAATTATCATTATATATAATCATTATATA